GCGTCGCGGACGACGGCGACGGCGACGCGCTCGCGGACGCGCTGCTGGACGCCGTCGGCGTCGCCGAGGGCGGCTCGGAGCACCCGCTCGCGTCCGCGCTCGTCGCCACGGCCGCGGAGGCGCGGGGGCGGCGGGGCTGGCGGGGCCCGCGATTCCGCGTCGTCGCCTTCGACGCGCTCGTCGGCCGGGGCGTCTCCGCGGCGCTGCGGCGCGCGGACGACGCCGCGGCGCCGGAGCTCGTGCTCCACGTGGGCACGCGGGACCTCGTCGCCGCGGCCGGCGGCGGCCGCGGCGCTCTCGGGCCCGAGCGCGACGCGCGCGCCAAGGCCCTCGAGGCCGACGGCGCGACGGTCGTCTTCGTCCACGCGGCCGTCGGCGGCCGGCGCCTCGTCGCCGACGACTTCAAGGCGACGGCGAAGAAGCCGCCGCCGGCGGGGTCGGGGGACGTCGTGGGCATGATCGGCGTCGCCGACATTATTAGGGACGAGGCCGCGCGCGTCGTCTCCCACCTCCAGTCGAACCTGGGCATCGAGGTCTGGATGCTCACGGGCGACAACGAGCGCACGGCCCAGGCCATCGCGCGCCAGTGCGGCATCTCGCGCGTGCTCGCCAAGGTGCGGCCGGACGACAAGGCGCGGAACGTGACGTCGCTCATGGACCAGGGCCACGTCGTCGCCATGGTCGGCGACGGCGTCAACGACTCGCCGGCGCTCGCCGCGGCCGATCTAGGCGTGGCCATCGGCGCGGGCGCGCAGATCGCCGTCGAGACCGCGGACGTCGTGTTGATCCGGAGCGTGCTCGACGACGTCGCGACGGCCATCGAGGTGAGCCGCGCGACTTTCGGGCGCATCAAGGCGAACCTCTTCTTCTCGCTCGCCTTCAACGGGTTGGGCATCCCCATCGCCGCGGGGGCGCTCTACCCGTTCCTCGAGGTGCGGCTCCCGCCGGAGGTCGCGGCGCTCGCCATGGTGCTCTCGTCCGTGTCCGTCGTCGCGTCGTCGCTGTCGCTGCGGTCCTACAAGCCGCCGTCGGCGTCGCCGCGCGCCGGCG